ATTACTCCAGTGAAACTAAAATTGGGCATAAAAAAATTAAACGGCCTATATTAAGCATAAATTAGCATGCTCGCTGCTTTACCCGCTCGAAATTAGACGAGAAATTAAAAATTTCGAACTGGTTTTTCTCAACACTGGGAAAAATGTTTGAAAATTTTTCAATTTCGTTCGATTCACGAATGAATGGGCTTTGAAATGATATTTCACTCGAACCATGATTTTTTGGTACCTGAATTTGCACACCCGAATTCAAATTCCCTCCCCATTTTCAATGGTTGCATAAATAATGAGTTGCAAAGTAAAATTCTGAAAGGGTTGAACAAAAAAATAGCGTTACACGAAAAAGATCGCTAAAGATAAGAACCATTTTAGCATCTTCTTGCTTATTGCAAAAAATGGAAATTTAACCTCAAAAGTTTTTTGTAATTGTTCTTTCAAATGAAATGATAGAGCTACTCCACTGAATCTGATATGCTTTTGAGAAAAAAATAGGCAATCATGTCTTTTGATTAAACAAACTTTAAGAAAGCGAAATTTTATATTTGATCTTCGCAGCATTGTGAAGTCAAAAGGTGCCGCCAAAACTGCGTATAATTTTGCTTCTGGATCTCTTAAAATTGTTGCTATTACATTTTTTGATAGAATATATTTATTTTTTTACCCAGTAGCTTAGTTTAGCTTGAACCATCTTCTTGACTCTTTCGGTATATAGTCAATTTATCCAAATACTTTTTATGTCGCAGTCAATTTACTCTGGGTTTGGAACTCTCTGGAGCTGGGAGCTCATCTTTGGAAAAATTTTAAAAAGTTTTAAGTTTTTATAGCTCGATAATACCAGTATATCGAAGAAAAGCAACTATTTTGGAAATTCAGTAATATAGAAACCTTGAACAACAATTCAATAAGAAATAATTGTTGGTCCGCCCACCGTGAGAGAAAAAAACAATAGTTGCGGCAATAGGGGCGACTTTGCAAAACATTGCAGGCAACACCAAGATATCAAGCAAAAAAAGTAGACAGACGCTGCGAAACAACCTGTTGGATGGACAACCGAAAGAAATAGTCGAAATATTCATGGATGACCTTCTCATTCGCCAGATCGTGAGTTCGATCCCATGCCATGTTAATAATAGTGTGTGAGGACGAGCTCTCATTTGACCTCTAGCTCTAGGTCTACCACAGGCCTGACCGATTACGGCTGCAATAATGGAACCACGAGCAATTCTAGACGCAAAAAACGACCTTGAGTAGCAAAAATGATCTTAGCTCAACAAAATAACTCAGACTAGAAATAAGAGAAAAAGACTCTAAGTACGCTAAGACAGGCTGGATGGTTTTTCATAGATCCTCGAATCACTGTAATTATTATTATTTTAAATTTAATAAGAATATCATATGTTGATAAGCCCTTACACTCACATCAAGCTAAAAAAAATTGTACAGATCTACTTTCTTTGCACAGTTTTAAGCTTTATCGATTAATTGTTGAAGATTCTCTAAGATAGTTTTATATCAACTATACCAATAGTAACCATTGCAAAAATTGAGTCTGATAAACAAGTCCTAAATTCAGAAGTCCTCAACAACGAGATATTCCGAAACAGTTAGTAAATTCTGAGGCTGTTTGAATTAATAGATAACAATTAGGTGTCACAAAAAATTATAAGGTTCTCATGTATCGACCTTAAACATGCACAAAGTCAGCTCACATTTTCAAGAAAAGCGACTACCTATAGCAAATTTAAAATTGTCGGAGGTGATATTGTCGAGGGTTTTAAGCAGGGGGCGGACTCAGGGAACCCCCTCAGCCATTCGACCCCGTGCCGGTCCAAAGGGTCCACTTTGCTACTCTTTTAAGCTATCCAGATTCTAAAGGTGCCCCTATATACTAATTATAGAGGAGGAAGCGCGCGCCAAAAAACGCGTTTTTTTGTCAACATCTTCCAAAAAAAGTGCCTAAAGTGTCTTTTTTGGCGTTTTTTTTTCTAAAAATTGACTGCAACGCAGAAAATTTGGTCAAAATAGAGTCTCTATATTGATTTGGGAAAGCTCAGAAAATCAATTTAGTCTGCAAAAAAAGGCCGATAAAAACCGACGATTTTTTTTTTGAAAACCGACCCCTAGAGAAAACCCTAGATCTGCTCCTGGTTTTAGAGTCAAGGAGATATCCCAAACGATATCCAAGGAATCACAGATATTTTAGTTGAAAAAATTTCGAATACCTATTTTTATCTGGATGATAGTTCATCACCATCAACCATCAGCTCTTTTAATAGTAGTTTGGCTTAGCTGAGACCATATTCTTAATCCTTTTTGGTATTTTAATTGTCTTGTCATAGTAGTTTTATGAGGGTTTTTAACTTTTAATTAAGTTACTGAGATTTTTAATTGAAAAAATGTCTGTTTTGCAATTGGAATAGCTACGTAAAACGCTTCAATACGGTATCACATTTTTCAAGGAGTAAACAAAAAACCCACCCTAGACCATAGTTCCACACCAATACGTGAGCAAAAACTTTTTCTTGAAAAGGGGAAACCTTATTGCACAATTTCTTGTATTATATATCCCACGCGTGCATAAATTTAAAATGAATTCAAGAGCAGTGGAATAACTTGTGGGGTCTGACACAGAAGCGAAGCGGAGTTTCGCACCACTTGCGATACAACACAAACATAAAAAGAAGCATTAACATAAGAAGCCTGGAAAATACGAAATGTTGAAAAATTATGTCTACCGAAAACTTAATTTTCAAATGGTTCGAAAGATGTTCGAAACATGTCAAACATTCAACTTTTAATTTAGCAACGGAACAAAAATTACGAAGAGGAAACAAAGCCGACAATCATGATGTAGACACACAAAGAGCCGAAAAAATGATTTCAGAAAAAAGTCTTCAAAATCTAAGTCCCTCCTGAAACAACGATGAACAACAGTTGCACTTGCAACTACAGTTACAATTGCTTCAAGCATAAGAAAAATCTGTGATATGGCAACTAAGTCGACAATCTTCAAGCAGACACTAGTCGAGCCAAAGAATTCATTTTATGAAAAAGTATTTCAAAAGTTTGAACTCCCCCTTGAAACTACAATGAACAACACTTGGACTTGCCACTACAGCGAAAATTGCTTGCAGCGAAAGCAAAACCCGTGAGGTGGCAACTAAGCGGACAAAATTAGAGCAAACAAAAAGTCCAATATTTTAATTTTTAACTCAGACCTTAGGGTGCAAAAACGACGGCGTTTCTTCTAGGCCAAATGAGAAGGAACCTGGAAACTGTTACGGTCAAATAAGAAATCAGGTTAAAGATTTGTAAGAAATGTTGTTAATCGTAAAGCCTAGTGCTCGATTAAAAGACACTTGCTCTAGCAAGTGTAATAACCAGGAACAATCAAAACAGGCGGCGTCTTCTCCGCTTTTATGGTTCATACCCGCTACTTTTCTCATTAATTGTTAAGATAAATGCAGGTTGCAAAAAAAATGTTTCGAGTAAAAAAAACATAAAATATTTAAAACGTTCTAAATATGTTTGTATAAACAAAAAAAAACAATGCAATTATATGCAGTCTGTGCGCCGTACTTTTTCTAGTTGAGTGCTCTTTTCATTTCACTTTCAGTAGTATCTACCGTTTCCCGGCACGTTCGATGCCTCGTTCACAAAAACCACTGAGGAAACTTTTCCATGAATACAGTTCAGTTATTCAAAGCACACAAGAAAATCTAACAATCAGGGGAAGTTGTTTTGAACACTAATTTATTCAGTGTTTTAAACACTGTGTTTAACGTGTTTTAAACATGTTTTAAACATTGCAAACCTGGATAAATGTGTACCTTTTTCTAAGAAACACAGGCATTTTTGAAAGAGTGGGATGTATATTTCTGAGTGCGTGTGTTTTGCGTATTACAAGGATAAATTTTTACGATGACAGCTCTTTTTTACTCGACCAGTTATCGGATTTTTGTTCGAATCTATGACAATTGAACAATTTTTTTCAGCAGTGTGGCAAATAAGACGGCCGCAGTTAAGGCGACAACCGTTTTGGTGGGAATTTAAGACAACAGCACAAACTCTTCGATAGTTTTCCTTCTGAGAAATAAAATTTGGCTAAATTCGAACAATTCAATTTACGTTTTAACTCTCCTTTGCCGTCTTAATGTCATGTCGTCTTAATGTCTTGTCCTCCTTATGTCTTGACGTTTTATTTTTCTAGCACCGAATTTAATCACAAGTGCATCTCCTGAAATTTTATACTCGGTCGCGGTTTGTTTCATAACTGAATTAGAAGAGTGGAATGTAATCCAAATTTTTTCCACACTAAAGTGGGTGGAACAAAAAAATAAGTTGTTTTTTAGCTTCAATTACTGGTCGGAACAATCTGCTCTGCATGCTCAGCAGCCAGATACTATAGAAAAGTCAAAGCTGCTTCGGTGTATTGGCAAAAAAAGTTGCTCAATTATAATTGTATGGCAACAGTAACTTCTTTCTTTTTCAATTAAACATAATGAAAAAGGGACTTACCTGATATTTTAATGGGAATTTTTAAATGATCTGCAAGAATTTTTTTCAACCTCTCATCTGCGTAATAACTTTCGTTCAAATTTATGTGGGCTAACAACTGTTGCATTCGATCACAAAGGTTTTGAAAATCGTCGATGGTGTTCATGTTTTGAACAGTACAGTTTAGTGCATCACAGGGAAGAAGGAGATTGTTGAGACCCAAGTTAGCGCTCATGAACTCCATGTGATCTTCTGTGAGCTTCATTCCTTCGCATGGAAAAAAGCTGCCAGTGAAGTCAAGAAATTCGGCGATCTTCGAGTCCGGATTCACGAGCTCCAAAGGTCTCTTCATCTCTACGTGACCACCCACGCTTTTTGTCGAAACCCAGGAATAGTTCTTGAGGAGATTCATTACAGCTGTGTCTCCTCTCATCTGATCAAGTGCGTAATGCACGATTGAAAGAAAGTTTTCTCTGAAAACTTCGTTTGAACCGACATACAATTCAAACGAGAGAGGAATCAGCTGATGAAAGATATCCACGAAAGACTTTTCTTTTTCTTTGAAGAAACCAGAGGCGAATAATCGCAGACATTCTAATATTTTGGGCGGCAACACAAGGTAGATTGCTCCATTCAAAGTTTCTGGTTTCAGTACTGCCGAGCAAGTCGAAAGACTTTGTCTTATATTATCAGGAATATCATCAGATATAAGGAACACTTTCGTGTTGCAAAGAGCAACTAAGTTCAACGAGTTCGGACAACAGAATACAGTGAGCAAAGGATCGGAAGCAATTCGCGTGTAGAATGTTTCCATCACCATTTTGCAAAGCGGGTCTGCATCGTTGGACATTTTTGGAAACAGATGAAAAAGATGTTCCTGAGAGTGGGTACAGCTCCTGGTGAGTACAGCTGTGCAAAGACTTTCAGCGGCACCCAACTGCAGGATGTCTCGGTTCCAAGATCCATCACTTGACTTATCAGCCGACTTGTCGTCCGCCGAGTTCAGCTCCAGGTAGCGTCTAGAAGAAGTCACCGCAAACGTCCCGTTCACCAGAAACGGCAGTCCAGTGTCTTGAGGGTGGGGCAGAGGTAGGAAACAGAACAGAATTCGAACCTGGCAGTTTTTCCTCAAGTCCAAATCATGTGAAGGAAAAGCAATAGATCCCACACACCTGGTTCCGTCTGATGACTTTTTGCCTGGCGCAGTCACAAAAATATCCCATTGGTAGCTTTGGCTTTTTTGATTATCTTGAATTTGGATCTTGTATGATGACTTAAACTTGTCTTCAAGTTTGAAAAGAACGCGAGCTCCGATGTCATTGGAGTCCAGAAAATTACGGCCAAAATTCGACAGAACTTCAGTTCCCTGATCTCGTTTCAAACAGATCTCAAATTTGTTAACGAACTGCAGGAAGATAAGAAACAGATCCGAAGAGCCTTTTGTCATTTCAATCAGCTCCATTGCACTCTCTATGGTGTACGGTTCATCGCATATTTTACTCCATTTGGCATGATCTTCGGTTCTTAGTGGAAATCGAAAGATGGTGCCCTCAAAAACTTCTCCGCTCTTTATTTTGTCAACCGAAAATCCAAAAAGTCCATCGAATGGTTTCAGCTGACCGATCATGGAATCAGCAATGTGCTTTCCGTTTTTTTCGCGAATTGCAGTCAAGTCATACCTGGCCCCTCTTTTACCTCGCAGAAATTTCTCATGGGGATCAAGTAAGCAGAGGGAAGTCTTACTCACGAATTGAGGTAGGTCAGTCAAGTTGTACACAGAGTTGAAACCCAGTCCAAACTTGCCAACTTTCTTGCGGTCATCCAGCTTCGTCTCACCGCCAAACTCACACAAATTCTCAAAGTCTGCATCCTGGAAAGGCTTGTTGTCCCAGAAGACAAGCGCTGGTCCTTGGAATTGGGCTAGTTTATCGTTAATGAGTTGCTCAGTTGTGTGGGTTCGCAAGTCAAGCATTAGACAAGCTTCAGTTGCCTGAGCATCATCTGCATTTTGTATGAGCTCCTTTGGAACTGGGAGACCATCTGCGTAGTCTTTAAGGAGGGTTCGAATTCTGCGAGTCAGGGGTTCTCTTTGTCCAAACTCCGTTCCCTCCCCGGCTAGATCCTCGTCAGAATCCATCACCGAAAAGGAGTTTCGATTCACAATGATTGAAGTTTCTAAAATGAAACATTTTTCATGAACTATTTTTGCTATAAGAGTTTGAAGCTTTCATATTGTTCCTGTAGAATCGGTAATTCTACTGTATAACGTACATGGCTTTTTCATTGAACCTTGAACATGCAAACTAAGTAGTAGTAGAGCTGATTCGTTGATAGCGTCTGGTAAAGATCGGTAAATAATAGAGTGGTTAAGTTAAGATTGAATTAAACTCGTGTTTAATTAAGTTCGTGGGATTAATCCCCCTCTTTAGTGAAAATAGTGAATGCAATAGCTCCCGCCAACCCCCCCCCCCCCCCCAACTCGGGAACTATAAGGGCGAACGTTATGAAATTTAATGGAGTGATACTAAAGATGATTTGACCCGGGCATGCAAAGCGCCGGACCCGCTTGACCCCCTGGGGCCGGGTGATAACGGTTCCCGGAAGTGCAAATGGCCCCACCGGAAATCCTTAACTACTGGTCCGATTGAGCTCATTTTTATATATGTGGTAGCCCTGGATGAGGGAAGCTTAAGTTTGAAGTTTCGGAACCTCAAGGTCACCCCGGCCCGATTTATGCCTTAAACAAACAAACCCCCCCCCCCACGACTCCCGGAGGCTACTCCTCGACCCCCAATGACCCTAGGGAGCTGAAACTTGGAGGGATGGTAGATAGTGACATGGTCTATCGTATATTAGGATGATGACCCTACTGGGTGACAATTTGCGTGCATAGGAAATTAGTTAGGCATTTCCTGGAATTCGATGGAATATCTTGGCTTAATGTATAGTGGTATATTGTTGGATTTAATACGAGTTAGTTAAATAAACATTGGGTTAAATTTTGACTTGGCGAATGAACTATTAATAGAAATGCGTCAATGGCACAGAAAAGTAGTCACATATTAATTTGGCAATATGACAGAGGGAATAGGGAATTAATTAACATAAATATTAGAAATGTACTGGATATTCCATTGGCTTCTGGGGAATGTTTTATTGGCTCAATTGGACCCCAGTTGAGGGAACGGCTTACCCTGAAGGTCGATTAGATTGAAATTTGAATGGGTTATGTATTGGAATTTTTGGATTGCGATAATTAGGAAATTAAGTTCATTGGGAATTTATCCTAGTCATGGGAGAAAGGAAAAGATGCGGGATAATTAAATAAAGTCCTTGGGTATTTGGATATGTAAACATAGCTTGAATTAAGTTGAAGTTGCACTTGTTATTTGTTTAGCATAGCTTTGATTGGCATTTTGAACTTGGCATTTAAATTAATGTGATCATGCGGGATTTATGAACTGGAACGCTGCGTAGGAGGCATATAGGTAAATGTTAAGACTTATACGGAATGACGGATCTCTAACTAAAACTAAGAGTAAATAGACATAAGGCACGGATGTTGCGGAACGGCCTTTAGGCGTCAGAACGATGGGGAGTTAATTGTTAACGAGTCGTATCTCAGAGTTATTGAGAACGAGTTAAGTTACTCGTTGAAAGTTAAAGTAGATTAGTTAGTGAAGTAAGTTAGGCTATCTAGAGGATAGCGGAATCGTTGTCGAACGATTGATAATTGATAGAAGTTCTCGAGGAGAACATTAGATATTAGTGAGGCGTTAATTGAACTGCAGGAGGCAGTTGGTTGAATAATAGTAATCGCGGACCCATTCCTTTGGTTGAATGATTAATTTATGTTCCAGCCACTTATAGGCTATTCTGTATTTGGATTGATTATTTCTTAATTCATTATTATTATTGGAATTGTTGTTGCGATTGACTATTGATTGCGAGCGAGATACAGTCGAAAGAGCACAAACAAGGGGCGAGCAGCATAATACGATACAGAACGTCTATCCACCAAATCAACCCTTTTGGGATTGTAAACAGTACTGGGATTTGGTTGCCCCACCGACCCAGTGCTAAAGGGAAACATATTGCGGCGACGCGGAACAGAGTGAGAGGTCGGCCTAGAGATATTGTGAATTCCACACGTTTACAGTGGCGCTCCTGGGTGGGCGCTATCCTGGATTGTAGTTGCAACGACGATTTGTGCGAATACGAGAAGAGCGGACGATCGACGAAACAGTTGCGATGGCGATGAACGATCAGGAAAGACAGCTCATGGCGGAGGCTGCGGTGGCTGCGGCGAATGCTCTTGATCGACAGCAGGGAGTGTTTGGATTTGGAACGATACGACCAGATCGGTTTCCCTCGAGCAGTTATCAGAACTGGCGAGACTGGAGGAAACACTTCGCCTGGATAGCAGACGCCAATCGATGGGACGATGAGCAGGCGAGGATGGTTTTGCCCACTTGCTTGACGGGCTGGGCATTGGATGAGTTCACCAGTATGCCAGCTCACTTTCGAGAGGAAGTGGAAGGGTTCGATGAGCCAACTTTAGGCAGAATGCTGGCCGAGCTCGATCAGAGGATGATGCCGTTTCAGACACGATCGACTGCGAGGGCTGAATTCAAAAGCCTCATTCAGGGCGAAAGGGAGGATCTGAGGGAGTTCTCCCGGCGAGTGCGATCAGTGGGTGAAGTGGCGAATGCAAATATGCCAGTGCAGATTCGAGACGATATGAATCGCGAGCAGTTCATCGATGGGATATTCGATGCGGATCTACAGGAGTTGCTCCTACGCGAAGATTTCGATAGTTTTGGTCAAGCCGTGGCTCGAGCCCAAGCACTAGAGATGGCTAGTAGGACAGCCAGACTGCGTAACCGAAGACGTCCAAATGCTGTTCGGGAAATGCACGATATTCCAGAGATAGAATCCGGAGTTATTGGAGGCGAAGTGCAGGCAGACGGGGCTCAGCACTTGCGGACGGACTTCACGAGATGGCAGAAAAGTACAGATCAGCGGTTAGACCAGCTCACTCAGCAGATGCAGATGCAGGGGGCGCGCCAGAATCAGCTGGCGAAACATGTGGAGACGCAAAACTCCAGGCATGACGAGCTGTTGACGCAGATGCACTCGCAAAACTCCCAGATACAGAATATGACGACCCAGATGCAGAGCATGACATCTATGATGAGCAAGTTAGTAACTTCTTTTTCCCCGGCTCCCCAGTACGAGGGCTTGCCCCGAGATGAAGCGGCACCAAAGTCACGGCAGTCATTTGAAGCGGGAGGAAACAGTCAGAACAGTGCAGAAAATGGCGCTGGACGATACGGCTTGAGGACTCCATGGACTCAGGGTGCTTGTTTTAATTGTGGTCAGGTGGGCCACATTGCGAAAGGATGTCCCCAAAGAAGTGCGAACCATTTAAACTACCAAGGGCCGGGACAGTAGGGGAGTTCGAAGGAGGATTTGTCCCGGCCGAATTCAAGAAACAGCAGGCGGAAAGGCGAACGCAAGCTACAGGAACTCAGTCATGCCAGCGTTACGATACGAATGCGATTGATGACGAAGAAAGGCAGAGCGAGAAGATAATGGAGCAGGAACAAGTTCTATCGATATTGGAACGACTACCCAGGATCAGAGAGAACGACCCAAAGTTGGAGACGAAACAGAATTCGCGAATGCGCATCGAGCGTGTTGGGATTAGTCATGATGTGAACGAACCACGCGGGGCAGTCGTCAATGCTCGCATAGGAGGAACCCATGTGGAGGTGCTGCTTGATACCGGAGCCACAACTGACCTCATAAGGACAGATGTTGCTCGGAGAATGGTGGAAACACCTACGATGGAACGTTACGCTGGTCGACTGGAGACAGCAGACGGACAAGTGATGGCGGTCGATGGAGTCGTCACAACTCGCTTCAAGTTGGGCGATATTGATGAAGACATCGAAGCTCTTGTGGTCCCGAAACTGAAAGCGGAGATGGTTCTTGGACTTCGATCGATGAAAGAGTATCAGTGCTCTTTGATGTTCAGTCGTGGAGAAGACTTCTTGTGGACAGGGACGAGAGAGGGTTCAATGGTGCCAATCCGGCACGTGAATCAACGGTATTCTCCGGAACGGATGCCCTCTCTGCCACATGATCCGGGCGGGCGGATTAAGGGAAAAGATATTCCGAGAACGGACATGCGGAAGAGGTTGATTGCGAAGATAACAGCGGCAGTAGAGTCTCCTGATGAAATCTTAGAAGGATGGCCGACTAGTTATGACGATCACAGTGTAAATGTGGTTCAAGAGAACGAAGCTGAAGAAGATGAAATGTATGGATGCCCAAAGCCTGTTTCCTTGGATGAGGCATTGGGATTGACTCGTGGCGGAGGCCGATCAGAGAGAGTTGCGGTGGTTCAAGAGACAAAAATGGGCGATGAGGACGACGGCGATGCGATTCGATGGGAACGAACGAAAGAAGAAATTGCGACGATGCAGAAAGAAGACGAAGCGATTGCGCAAGTATTCTATTGGGCGGAAACAGCAGACGAGACGAGCGATATGCCTTCTTTGGGAACGAATCTTATTCCGAAGGGACAGGCAATTCAGTACGGACCTGAGGCACTAGCATACTGGTCGAGATGGGATGAGCTGAGTATTCGAGGTGGAATACTCTACAAGAAATGGTTCCAGAGAGATGGGTCAAAGCCGACACTTTTGACGGTTGTTCCAGCAGCGGGACGAAAGGAGATCCTCGGACGGTTTGACTCGATGGAAACTGGGGGAGGACAACTTGCGACCGAGAAGATGTTAGCGAAGATACGACGACGATATTGGTGGCCGACGATGAGGACGGATGTCGAAAGAAAAGTCCAGTGGTGCTTAAGCCAGGGTGCACATAATGTCAGCGGGAAGAGAAAGCGAGCTGCGGTTCAAGCTCCGTTTGATCCCGGAATCAGATTCAACACAGTGGCAGTGGATGTACTTGGTCCAATGACGATGGCAACTCAGACGAAGGCGAGGCATGTGCTAGTGATGACGGATTTGTTCACAATGTATGCGATAACGGTCCCTCTCGTATCTACAGATGCATCAGACGTGGCTCAAGCAATTGTGGAACATTGGGTACTGAAGTTTGGAACTCCCAATGCTTTACGTACGGACCAAGGAAAAGTCTTTGGC